CCTGGCCATTGATTTGAGAGAGTTTCCAAAAACATACAATTCAAAATGATCAATGTGTTGGACAGAGAAATAGGAATATGAAAATACTGAAGGTAGGAGTTAATTTGCCATTTAGACATACATATGGAAGTTTGTTTCATTACTAAATATGTGGATTTATTCCCTACAAACAAAACTGAAGAGTAACTGAGGTGATACCCGTTTGACGCACAGTTTGCTCAACAAATAGGCAGAACCAGGTGTAAAGACAACTGAAAGGCAGTTATGAAAGGGTGGGTTAGTCTGCGGGAATCAAGGGAAGGGAGAGTGGCGACAGGCGGTAGCTCAACAAATTGAAGTAACAAGGGCTCCTGAGGGCAGGGTGTGATTTTTACAATGGCTGGAAGGTGGCTTGATCTCAGAATCCAGGTGTCCCCATGTAGCCCAGGGATTTAGAAAAGCTGAGCTCTCAATCTTTTACAAGTGCCCTTGCTCTGAGGGACCCACACATGGTATTCTCTCTACTCTCTCCTGCCGCAGTCTGGCTGGGCACAAATAACCAAGCCACCACAAAGCACCCGTAGGTTCAAACACCAACTCTTTATTCCCAGAACTCTCCACACACGCTCCCCGGGAACACTCTCACCCTCCACCTGGCTCCTCGTGCACTCCTGCGCTCCGAACCGCTAGAGCTCAACAGGAACTCCAGAGTAGCCGGCGCCTGAGGCAGCAGGAGCCGCCCTATTCCTGGAGCCACCCTACTGCCAGACAGCCCTTTAAGGCCTAGGATTCCAGACGCATCATGGCACTAAGCTCAGTGTTTGCAAGAGAACAAGTGACACCTGGTGCTCCCCATAAATATACACCCTGTGACTGACCCCAGGCCCTTGAGTCACCTCCTCCTCACAGCCTCTCTCTCTGGTTTGGTTCATGGACTGTGCACATCTCCATGGCCTCTGCAGGACTTCTCCCTCTTACTGCTGAGCGCTTCGAAGTGCAATTCTGATTTGTGTATATTTGCATATTTCTATATATATATATTTGTATATATATTCCTATATTTATATTTAAAATTAGGTCAAAATGAATATGATTTTTTGATGCCATCTCAGTATAGTACTTACCTAAAATAAGAAGACACCTTCAGTTTTGGAAAGACTTATGACTAGATTTCACACCATATTTTTTAAAATTAAAATACATGGATTGTCTTCATCACAAACTCTTCCTGAATATTTCATGTGTTTTGAGCTTTATTTGCTGTACATATCTTCACAGTGTGCACAGTATTCAAATATTCCCAACAGATGGTCTCACGTGCTACATATTATATAGCATTAAATGAATAGTTTGGTAAACAAATGAGTCAAGAATTAAAATATTTTACAGCTTATAAATCATGAAAGATGTTCAATAACAGTACATTAATAAAAAAAAAGTCTTCAAATGTAAACATAAAAACATTAAATGCCACTATTGGATTAGTCAACTGTTCATGAAAATGAATTAGTTCTTTAAAAGAAGTGGATCTCACAGACTATGACCTAAATGCATCAGGTTGATGGCTGGTTTCCCTTCTCAACCCAACTCCTGCGGCTTTCTCTGCCATTTCCCTCTCATTAATGCCTCCTTAATAACTAGGAAAGGAAACAAAACTCATGAGCCAATTTTGTTCTCTTAAGATTATCTTCAATAAAATGCCCCTGACATTACTCCACAGATGGGCAGAAACCACTGACGCTCTCCCCTTGGATGTCATGGCATACCCCTATGTCACTTCTAATGTACAATGACTTTTCCCTAATCACTCGGTGTCTTTAATACTGGATGCAAGACTTAACTTTTAAATTTCATTCTATTTCCCTAGAAGTGAGACCTCAATAGTCCTGACTGTGAAGAGAATATAAGCTCTTTATGAACAAGTCATTTGACAGAATAGCATAGCAACGTTAGAAAGTGGCCATGGCGTAAAACCTCCCACCTAAGTCACCGCTGGCTTCATTTGTTCATTTAAGGTCCATTACACATCTTCAGGTGCACATTCTTACCTCTGCCCTACTACACCTCACATAGGCTACGTCCTCAATTCCCTGTTCTACATTGTCACCTAAGCACACTGTGAGGCTGGGGAAGAGCCTTGAGAAATCATTCTAATAAGTTCAGGTGCTGCTCTAAGGACAACACTTTAAGCCAGTGATACAACAACCCATCTTTCCTGATCTGTCAGGGATAAAAAAGTATGTCCGAATTTTAAAAGGCTAATGTACAAAAGCAAAATATTAAATAGAAAGTTCCAGAAAAAACCAACCCATGTGATTTTCTGTTACTGAAAATCGCCATACACTGTATATGATTTTACCCACACACAGCACAATATTATGTAAACTGATCTTTGGGAAACTTAATGGTTTTTAGACAATTTTTAACAGAAAAAGTAAGAGTGCCATCAATAAGACATTGCAAAGTCACAACTACCACAAAGAGAGTGTGTTTGGGTTCCAGGATACCTTTTTAGAATGCTCTAAGCACTAGGGCAGTAGGTCTCAGACCACACCTCTGGTTACCAGCACTGTTTTCTTTCTTCAAGCTACAGCACAGCCAGGCTCAAGGACAGGTAAACCAGAGGAGGTCTTTTTTTTTTTAAAAAAATTAATTAAAAATATCTTTATTGTGTTAAAACATTTAACATGAAATCTCATTCTAAATTTTGAGTGTATAACGCAGAAGTACTCACTACAGACACAATGTGGCACAGTGGATCTCTAGAACCCCAGTTTGTATAGCTGAAATTCTATACCCAGAGGATACTCACTCTCCATTCCCTCTCTTCACATGCAGCCCCCACCCCACTATTACATATGTGATACTCCATATCGCATATGCCACACATACCCCTCCGCCAGCCCAGCTTGGAATCAGACACAAGATCATTTCTGGCAGAAGTACACAATACAGACCTCTGAATTGTTCTTACCCTCAGGATAGTGACAATAATCATGAAGATGATGCCCAATGGTACATCAGCAATACTAAGGAAGAGACTGCAAACTAGTAGCTCTAAGATTTTGTTTTGTTTTTAAATGAATTTTCTGCCAACATTTGTAGTCATATTTCACGCAAAAAAACTGTACTGTTTTCAGTTTCTCTAAGAAGATCAGGTTAAGCAACCCTGGCCTTGCGTTCATTTCCAAATGGCAACACGAGCAGGAGCTGAACAGCTGTTGCTCCCTGTGAGTGGGTACAACTAGCTCTGGATTGCCACCGTCCTGTGGTCCTTGTTCTTTACACCTGAGCTGCCCTCTCTCAGTTCCCCAACCTGGCTCTCCTGTTGGAGTTTGTAATCCTCATACCAAGGGTGGCAGCACAAGTGCTCATGTTTGCTATGACCTGCTGTCTCTTATTCCACTTTCCTGTCACTCACCAGGGTATAACAGAAGGCGAGTTAATGGTAAGTAACAGTACTGTTCTAATTTATTTAAAAAAAAAATTACAAACTTCAGTACTCTCATCAATAATAAATCAGACTTCACGGTTCACCACAACACATCAGAATTGAAACCTCCTGACAAAGGAACTTGATGTCTTCCTCCCAGCACAAATCTTAACTTCTCAGTTAGTACAGGCAACTAATGATGAAAACATTGAACATTTCAGAATCGAGTTTCAGAGTGCAAGTAGTTTAAGGAAAAAATAAAGCACTTTTAGTTGATGTAATTATAGGTATATAAGAATCTCGCTTTATAAATACTTACTGGATAACCATATAATCATGAAGTTGTGTTGTTGTGTATAGTTATTTAAGGAGAAATGTAAAATTTGGGCATTTAGATGACAAGCCCATTCAAAAATAAACATTTCTGAGGCAGGCATTAAAATAAAACCTAGATGAAAAATAGCTACCTTTAAGAGAATAATAGCATTCTATTCCCAGGTTGCTCCAAATATCTTTGTCTCAGCAGATGGAGAAAGAAATGCATACGCTAGGGGGTGGATAGAAAGAGGAACAATGTAGAGGAGATTCACTACAGGTTATGGAAGTTGAGAGCAATTAAGAGAACAGGAAGGCATTCTGACCTGTGGAGATATCCCTTGTTCCAAATGTATATGACTTAGATCTGAAATGACCACGGATACACCTCATCCTCTAGGACAATACAGTTTACTCACACACTTCCGTCTACACTACACTTGGATACACATTCACACATTAGACCCATGATGCCCTCTGATGGCATCTCAGATGGATAGGTGGGCACTTGGATTAGTATTTTAAGGGGACTGGACGTGTGATCACCTGTTGAACTCTGGAGAATAAGTGGTGAGAAACCATAGGGTGTGCCAACCCCACTCTACTCTTTCTTGAGTACCATAGTTTTTTTGTTTTGTTTTTTTCATTTAACTTTTCTCCAAATCTTTGTATGTGACTTAACTAACAGGGTCGCTTGAGGGAAAAAAATGAAAACACAGAAACAGAAAGCACTTGGCATAGGCCTAAGCCTACCTATAAATACTCAAACATCATTTTCTACCAAATTGTAAGCATAAGCACCATCCCTATGAGGCATGTGGTATATGTAGAGAGTATTCACATCTACTGAAGAATGTTCATCCCAACATACTTAGAAAGTACTCTTCTGCATGACTTTTCAGGGTCATTTTCATAGTGAAGCAATTCTACAGGTCTGAAAGAATACTTGCAACAATACACCAAACAAGGGGCATCCTAAGTGTTTATTAACTGACAAGGAAGGCTGGGTGTGGCGCTGCACAACTGTAATCCCAGCTACTCGTGAGGTTGAGGCAGGGGGATTATGAGTTTGAGGCCTGCCTCAGCCACTTAGTGACACCCTGTCTCAAAATAAAAAATAAATAAAAAGGGCTGGAAATGTAGCTCGGTGATAGAGCATCCCTGGATCCAATCCCCAGTATTGCAAAACAACAACAAAAACAATAACAACAAACCTTATGTACAAATGTATTATGGTAGCACTGTTTTACCTACAATAAGAAATTCTGACAAATGAATTACATTTAAACACTTTAATCACCTACAATAAATCAACAATCATATATTATATAAAAATTCTGATTCATGCATCAGATTACATAAATTATACAATTGCCGCATAATACAATTTACATACTTCTGAGTTTGTACCTGCAAAAATGTACACAAGTTACTAGAGCATTTACTTAAGAAGGTAGGTGTAATACTCTTCAGTTATAAATAATGCTTATATCATCCAAATACATTTCTAAATCTGCAGCATATTTTTGTACCTCAAAATACAAACCATCTGGAAGCTTCAGAGATTAATAGGCCCAAATGCATCAATTCCATTGTAACAGTGGATTATTTAACAGAAAATAAATAAAATAAAATGTCAACTCTAGTTTAATTCTTGAAAAGCTTCTACCCTTCTTATTAAATACATCAGAAACTCCTTCATATGCAGGTTGATTAGTTAAGGTGCTACCTATTGCATATTAAATACTTTCAACAACTGCATCTGGATTATTCAAGTCCTCAATCTGTGAAAACCGGGGCTCTCAACATGTGCTGGCAGACCCTCACCTCCCTCCATGAGCCAGCAGTGTGATCCTTCCCGTCCTCCTTCAAGAGCTGAGGTGAATGGGCATGGTTTCTGCTGCACTCACCCACACAGGTGACACCTACCAGATCTAAAAGACATAAGTCCATGAACATTGAAAAACTTTCAGCTTGCTTTACAAATCCAAGGTAGAAAGCTTTCTAAAAATCTACAGAGGAAAATAAAAGCTCTAGTGTGACAATTACTGTAGATACATTAAAGACAGCAAGGTCTGGTTTTTCTTTGTTTAAGATTTTCCTTGTTAAAGAATAAGCACCCTTATAAGTAAGGGTGGTAGATAGGGGGAACTGGGGTAAGGGAGTTGGTGAAGGAAGGATGTGAAGAAAGCAAGTCTGTCACTAATGAGCTTAGTTTCACTCAGGTTTCCATTCATGAAACCCTTTTAAATACAAGGCAACATTTTCACAGCTGGAAAATTACAACTAAATCTTGATTTACTGCCAAAAGCAAGAGATGTAGTTATATATAATCTATGGATAACACTACCCTCATGGGAGGAGGCGAAGCTAGGCGCAATACAGAAGATAGCAGCAAAAAGCAATACTTAAACACTGCTCATAAATGAGTTACACAATGATTTATATACAATTCTAAGTAATAACCCTGGTACTCAGTAAGTGAAACTTGACCCCTAAAGTGGTAGAAAGTTTTGGTCAATATTTTCAAAGCTGATTTTTAGAACTGGGAGGTAAAATGGTGGTAAAATAATACTGGTTTTAAAATAAGAGCAGAAAAGTTTAATTATATAACAAAAGTATGTTAGTATAAGATAGACCAGATAACATCAATTCCGTAATATTAAAAAATCCTCTTGTTGGTGGAAGCGTTTCTGAGCGAGCATGCACTTTTAGGCATAAAAGCAGAGGTAAGATCTGCTTATAAGTCTATTGTACTGTGCATTATTTAATGTGAACATGTATTTAATTTCCATTTCTAAGCTACTAACAAAATATATCATTAGAATGCTTAGAGTTACACTTTGGAAAAATAAATTAAAGTGATCTTTTTGGCCTTTCTTCTTAGAATGCCAGAAATTAAATCGACACTGTTTACACTTCTGCTCAAGCACAGGAAACACTGTCATGTTTACTTGGGAACTGGTTTTACTTTTTGTTTTTTAGTTTGTTATATTGACTGATTATGAAAATACATGGTAAGTTTACTCTGGTCATGAGTGAAAATTCATAAACATTGCAACAGAACATTTTCAGGCAGTAGTAAATGTAGATTTAGTTTTAAATACAACACATGTTAGATTTTAAAGATAAAAATAATGATCTAGTTACAGCCAATCACTTATGGACAACAAGTCTACTCTTAACAATTTTTATAGAGGGAAAGAACTGCTCCTGAAAAATAATTTCCTCATAAAAATAACAGTACTTCTTGAACCATACTTTTAAATGTTTTACTTATGGAAAACATACCCCCAATACAAAACAGACATCTCAGTTCATTCTAGAAAAAACAAATTTGACTATAGCAAACCATAGTAATCTATAGATATCTGTCATAATTTTGAAAACACGTGGATTTTTAAGTTTTTTTTTTAAAACTTAAAAGAGTCCCAACAATACTTTCAGAAAAACCTGCTAAGAGCAATGTTTTGTAACATTTAATAAATGTTACTTTAAAATGGCACCATGCTAAAAGATAATAATTAGCAAGACCTCAAATGAGAAAATAAAATCCCACTCTAGATTATGAGGTTTAATATAGAGCTTTAATAATGAGTAGAGGGGAAAATTAATGAAAACTATATTTCTTTATTTCTTAATTAATTTTTTTTTGTATTGGGAAAATTTTTCACAATTCCAAAATGCATGTTCTTATAGGAAAATTAAAGAGACTCAGAAAATACAGACAACAAGGGGTTTTAGTTTTTGAATATAAGCTTGGCCAAGTATTCTCTGATTCAAAATATTATAATAAATAAAACTATTATGTCTGCTTTTTCTCTAACTTTCAATGAGGTCTTAATAGAGATAAGTATTAAAAAATGCAATTCATTCATTCATATATCAGTCTCCATATGGAAATTAACTTTACATTTTAAATTCAGAATGACACAGCTAAACTTTCATAGTATTTTAGATTTTTAAAGCTGAAAAATTAAACAGAAGATTAGCAACATTCTTAGATCACTGTTTTTTCCCACTTAAATTTCAGAATAATTTTGTACAAATAAATAGAGCTAATCCATGGAAGGAATCAACATTTTGAGGGAGTGGACTTAAAAAAAAAAAAAAAAGAACCCCTAATTTTGTGATAAACCAATCACTGGAGAGTAGATATAGAGTACTATGTAACGTCATGCTAGTAAAAATCTGCTCTAAAAATTCACTCCTCTCCAAATAAGTCTTATTTTTGGTTCAAGACCCAAAGACAACCATCTGTTCTGTTATTGATGAAACTTGAAACCAAGCCTAATTTTTCAATCCTAGAAACTGCCCATTGCTTTGGGTTATCAGACACAGATGAGCACCTACATTTTTCCCCATTATTTTCAGATGTAACTTTGTAATATTTTCTTCGCTAATGATTTAAAGGCATGCAGAATTTCAACAAAACAAATTGCATTAGCTTATCTTCTGCTTAAACCTTAAACAAAACTCATGTTAGGTAAAAAAGGAAAGAAATTCATGCTGCTGTGAAGTTAATGACGTGTCCTAAAATTTGTCATTCTTTGAAAAGGGACCTTGGATCACAATTTTTAGAAAAAGAGCAAAAGTGTGATGATGGGATCATAAACAGCAGCTCACTCTGAAGCCAAGGCTCACAGTCAAGAGCAATTTGAAGCAGCTTCTCTAGAGGGACCGCAGTGGTAGTAATGACGATTTGTCTTGCATCAATACAGCGAACGTACCATTTCCAAACTCAGAAATTGGTATCCGTACCTTAGAGGCAACCAGTTGCTTTTCAGTGTACTAAAAACACATGTATATATGAGGTATATGCATGTATTTTATATACAAAGATACATGAAAATGTATTCATGTATGTATATAAAATTTAAACTGATTTTTGTAGTGTTATAATGAGCTATATTCATGAAGCTAACTAAATCTGCAAATTGACTTCTGAGAATTCAACCAGTCCATCTGCTTAATGCAAAAAAATCTATTCCTGAGAAGTAACTCGTGGGCTTATGAAGATATTTCTTGGCCTATGGCAGATAAGTGGGCCAGCACCAGCACCCAGGTGAATCCTACAGAACTGCTTATTCATTGAGAATCTGGCCCATTTTCACTCAAAGGTTGAAAGTATTTTGCTCACTTCAAAGGTCCCTCTTGATAGTCCCTGCTAGTAATAGGTACGGCCATTTTTCTTAGAGGAGGAGAGTAGGCTATGAAACCTGGCAGAGGGGCCTCTTCAAGTAACAGTTTTTTTTTTCTTTATTTCTTCTTCCCCTCTCTCTTTCCAATTATAAATGTAGTAGACTTGGCTTTATGAACTATTGGCAAACTTGCCAGCTTTCCTGGATGGTTCGTATGGCACTCTGAGAATACTGGGCGTTTCCTCCATTACCCTGACCAAGAGGTTGTCGATGTAGTCCTCAAGTTCCCGGATGTGGGTGTCTTTCCTCCGAAGGAGTTCTTTGTGTTTCACCAGCTCCTGCAGTACCTCTTCGTAGGTCAGACTGCGGTACCCTGCAGTGGCATCAAAAGGATTGCTGTCCTGGAACAGAATACAGACTGTCACATTAGCAGGCAGAGTATCAGGGACAGACCCTATGAATTATTTAGAACTTCATGTTATGGTTCTTCAAACCCTGATGAAGGTTTCTTCCATCCTCATCTACAACTACCGTGCCTGTTTGCAGACTGGCCAGCCAGTTCTGAGGCAGGAACTAAGGCAGATGTACCAAAGCCTGCATTATAACTCTATGTTCTAAACCCCTTTTTTCACACTGTGAACAATTTCCTAATATAAGAGGCTGACCATATAATTTAAGACTAAATTAAAAGATGAAATATTCTGTAATTTAGAATTTAAGTTAGTAGCTGTAACTAAAATAAGGTAAAACAAAAGCTATCCAAGATATTAACTCAGAGGAACTGTAAGAAGCCACTGAGAGCTACCACTTGGATATCAGTCCTCATGGAACTGCTTCCACTGAACTGTGGTTTAATGTTACACCTTGGCTTTTTGTTGGAAGATGCCTACAAGAAGCAGTAATATCAAATCTGCTTCACCAATTTGCTGTGACATGTTGAAGCACTTGGAATTAAATCAATGAGCATCCTTATGCAAAGCTGCAAGGGAATAACTTGTTTTAATTTAGAGGCTGGCTGGGCCTCTTCTCCCCTAAGTTACTGGTTTGTTTCCTTTTCTACACACAACACCTATCTGATTTACCTTATTTCCCTTTTTGCTTTACCTTATTTCAATTACAACTATATTAACACTTAGGGTTACTGTATCTGTATTCTTTACTGTTTCATTGCTTATAAGCTTATTCTATTGATAAAAAATTATTTTCAAACAAAAGAAGTATAACCAAACAATAAAGAAAGGGGTACTGATTTAATTAATTTTTAAGAAAAAGAATTCCAATATTAATATATGGCAACCCCCCCCCAAAAAAAAATATTTCACAGTAATCAAGAAAAGCACTTCATCAACTCTGCATGCAGAAATGCATGCTGGGCATTTCCAGCAGTGGGGTCTGCTTGGTCATTAGGGAATGAGGTTCCAAGCCAGTGGCCAACAAGAGGCCATCAGTGGAGCTGGGCTAGAAAATAAGATACAGAATAGGAAGCAGGGAGGCTGAAATGGTAGGTCCCATCTATACCAAATATCTTGAAAACTATGATTAACGATTTTTAGACTCTTTGCTAAGGGAAATAAGAAACCAAGATTTCTAAACAGAGAAATTATGTGGTCAAAAGCTATGTTCTAGGAAAATTAAAATGGCAACAGTGGGTGAGATTGTTTGAAGAAGCTGAAAATAAATCCAGGGCTACTGACAAGATTTAAAAAGAAGGAACAGAGAAGGTATAAAAAAAAAGGGAGTTTAAACTCTATAAACTATATTTAAAACAAGTTATTTTATTTTGGCATTAGAAACTGGGAAAAGATGCAAGTATATTAGTTAATATTTATCTTTGTCCCTAAAAATACTTCAAATATTGATCTAAAACTACTGAAGGAAGAGTTAAGTGTCGTCTGAATTTTTACCCTTTTCTCTCTCAGATCAAATAAGTCCACACAGTTCCTAGTTTTTTTAACTGGTCATAAGTAGTGTAGAGTTATATATCTTATTATACATTTCTTAATTACATTCTTAAAAAGAATTTATCATATTAAACATCTATCTACAGAAATAAATAATGAACACCATAAAGATGAGTAGATTTGGAAGTTTGTTAAATACTCGCTACTGTTTCTACTCAAAGTAGAAACTCTGCATACACTTAGGCAGAACCAAGCTGGGGGTCACTTTCCTAATCTGACCAAGAAGGAATCTCCACAATCCCTTTCAACTCTAAAATTCTGTGCCCTACAGAGTGAGTTTTCTGAACAGCATTTTAAAAAGTAATGAAGTCCATCTAATGTGACTTCAATTTTCTAATAAAACATTTACTGAAAATAAGGAGTTTGGTGAGAATTGCAGGGGTTAATGAAATTAAACTAAATGGAATGTGAGTGATTGGTTGACTGCTTTGTTTTTTTCTTAATTTAACATAACAGCAGCATCTGCTGGAATCTCTAATCTTAATAAAATTATACATACATGAACTGACTTCTCCAAACTAATTAAGTGATGATATACAGCTAAAAAATCATTTGCACTGTTATATTTAGTACTACATCAGTAATTCTTAATGTAGCTAAAAAAATTTTTTTAACATTTCATCAGAAGCTCAGGATGAAAGACATGTTAAAAATTCGTCATTTTGACATAAGTAGTCTAAATTAATGCCATCATATAAATCAGTCTAACAACTTAATCTCTCAAAATAATCTATTATCTTAGAACACTGCTCAACACTTTTAGCCATAATTGAGAATATACAGAAATATTATTTGTCTTATCCCCCCCCCCATAATGACCTAATACTAACACATGGAAGATTTCTTGGGAATACATTTCTATTTTTTTTCGGCTAATTTTTCCTTTGTCCTTTTATGTGAAAATTTTACCCCAAATTTCAGCATCAAGTTTCTGGGCAGGAAAACATCTTAGAAACACATGTACTATAAACTATATTCTGGAAAAGAATATAAAATAATTAAAAACAGTTTCAGGCTTAGTTCCAGATTTTATTCAATATGTGGAAACCACGTAAAACTTCTAATTTTAGGCATAAGATTCTTAAATTGACAGATCTACTCAATGAATACATTTATCCTTCAGTTTATTGATATGACACCAAAGAAAATAATAAAGATTAACATTAGCTAACACAAGCAATAGAAAATGAAAATATTTTCTGTTAATAAAAATTAAGAGGAAAGCTCTCAGGCAAATATAAATATTGCTTTTTTCAAGATACATTTACTACTAGTCATGGAAAAACTTCAAAAATTGAGAACTCTCCAAACTGGCAAAGACCAAATGCAGCACCTACACCAGGACTCCCAAGTACTCAGTATTTTTCCTGAGTGCTCTATCCAGCACATGTGTTTTTAAGATGTCTTCTTATTTTGAAATTTAATGTACATTTTTCTTCTCTCTTCTCCTTTCACAATCAATCCTTTCTCATTCTTATTCCACCACTGCTAAAAAATGTCCATAAACAAATATAAGAAAATGGGGTTTGGGTTAGAGAATAACAAAATTATTACATGAAGCTTTTTTAATTGGAATTTTAAATAACAGGGTTGTGCATGAGACTCTGAGAATTACTAGTGATCTATTTTTGCTTTACACATAATCTAGCCTTTTAAACCAGGAAATATACATTTTTTACAATATTTAAATTTAAACAAAAGCAAATTATCAGGACTCAAAATAACTGGAGATTTAAAGAAAGGTTGTCCTGGTAACCAAATATTGGTGGGGCGTAACTGACATCCAAGGCAACTCCAGGAGAGGGAGGAGATGAAGGCCTGGCATTCTCTCATCATCTCATTATTGTTCTAATGAGGAACTTTGCTCTGGGAATATCATCTCAGCTACTTTCACATCTTTTGTCCTAGTCCCTTCATCTCCCTTTCAGTTCTTAATTAGGCCTTAAAGAGCTCACACTGCCCTTTCAACTGGCTACTGCTCCTGCTTAAACACCGCACTTTCACAGACAGGTGTTGGCACCAGCATAGACGACATACAAACTTAATTACAAAATACTACGTCCAGAAGGGGAAAAAATAACTTGCTGGATGGCTATTACTGGAGAACTTAATGTAAATTATTTCAAACATCTTATAATCCTCAACATAAAAATTGTTCAAATACTTTTCCTCAATAACCATCAGTTTGAGGATGAGCTTTCTCCTCTTAATTGTATCTTGCGGTAAATTAACAACACCTAGTAATCCTTTCACTGTCAGAATAGTTAGGATCCAGAGAAAAATAATCACACATCAAGGATTCTTTTATCACCTTTAAATCCTTTAACTAAAACAATTTTCACATTTTATTTCTTTAAAGAATTCTAAGGATGCTTTTACAGCAATAAATTACAAGATTTGGAAAAGTACATTTACAAGCACATAGAAATTGTAATTAAAGTTACTTAATAAACAATAGCTACACATTAAATCGATTTTTTGATGTTGCATTTTGAGATTAAGTAACCGCCTGATAGAATTCATTTTACTATCTGATCAAAGGCTGACTTCATATAGTCTGACATTTCTTACCAGACTGCCATATTATAAAGACTTGAGTATTTATGAAACATCAAAACTTACAAATCATTTACATAAAACAGCACAAACAATATGAAGTCCCATGTTTCTATAATATTTGTACAACTTTAAAGACAGACAACTGAACTTAAAATAACTCATAAAATAAACTCTAACCCCACCTCAACCTCTTTTAGGCACATCACATCTAAAAAAATCATGATATGTGACTGCTTAAAAAAATTCATATTATACATCTGGATCACACATATTAGGGACAGATGGTGGAAACAGCAACCACCAGCCTCTTGAAATGAAAATTCTATTTCTGTTATTCAGTGAGAATTTAGTTTTCTACCCAGAACATTTGCCCATATTTTTGTAAAATAACGTGTTCTCTAGGTTTAACAGATATAGAATTGACCACAAATGCAATGGAACCAACCCTGGACTTCAGCTAATAGCAGGATGAACTTCAGATATCTGAACAATCCCTGCAAAATACGTGAACCGACTTCTGATCACTGCCAACCCTGCTAATATTTTTGGTTTTGTACTGACTAGGAAAATAAGTGTCCTAAAGTATTTGCTGCTTCTTCAAATATCTTCCCGATTAACTGGGTCTCTTGCCCGGGTGCTTTTTCTATTGTTGACCGTTAACAAACAGCATATTCTTTCTTCAGCCCTTGTCCCGACAACAAAAAAACATCCGTCTTTGCCCCATGCTCTTATTTCATAACTATGATGCTGACTTTGACATACAGCTTTCATATTAATTTCAAAACAGCCTGTAAGCAAAATCTGTGCACTTTAAATTGGCTCTAATTATAACTGTTCACTGGAACTTTAATTGATCATATACAGAAGCCACACCCTCTAGTATATAAAAGGCAAGTCTGAATTTCACTTTCTCTCTTTCTTCCAAAATTACCACCCTGATCTGCAATACTTGGGCAGCTAAGATATTCAAAGAGACAGAGGCATTTTTAAGAACATGTGCCAGAGAGGAGATGGGCTTGTGTCTGGTAATTCTCTAACCCCTCGGCAACTTACCGGGATTTTCCTGAGGTCTTCATTGCTTGTCGGATTCATGTGAAAACTAAGTAATAAAACACAAATGTAAATGTTAGAAGTGTACCATGGTCCTAATGGAGGAAACAAAAAGAGAAAATACTTTTTTTTTGTAAGTATTTTTAGTTGTAGGTAGACACAATTTTTGTTTTATTTATTTTATTATGTGGGGCTGAGAATCGAACCCAGTGCCTCACACATGCTAGGCAAGCACTCTACCACTGAGTTACAACCCCAGCCCCCCAAATAGAAAATTCTTAACCAACAATGCCATAAAAACTTCTGAAGTCCTTAGTGAAGTTTAATCCAAGTTTAATCCAAGATGCAGAAGACAGTGTTTACTCAACATTCTTCAAGTATCTATGATTTTACACTCTGCAGGTAAACTCTTCAGTTATTATCAAAACCGAAGAACCATACATCACACATTGAAATACATCATTTCCACACGTCTTTAAGCATAGTGATTTTATTTTACTTGCTTTTATATTACTCTTCTTATGTATATAAACACACTTACCTTTAGCCTTTAACTTTAGCATTATCTGAACTTAAGAATAGAAAAATTGCAGAATAAAAGCATTAAGCACTCTTTGTATAAAATACTAGAAAATTTAACTTTCAAAACATTAATTACCCTATCAATAAGAATGAGTTCTGAGTATAGGAATCATTTCTATCATTAATATGATTTCTAAGCAGCTAGCTTTCAAAACTTAAAACTGAAATGAACCTAAAAACAAAACAGATTTCTTCCATACAGAGAATAAGAAAACATCATAGCTGAAGGCTCTAACCATTTTCATCTTTGAAACATGTCCATTAGGAAGGGGACTACAACCCCAAAGAAGCTCAACTTCAAAGCCATCTGATGAGTAAATATTTCATCAGTACTCTACACATTGAATTTTTGCACAGCACTTAAGAGTATTAGCCTTAGAATCCGCTACAAAGCATTACTGAACTAGAAGCCTTTGCATTCCACACATATTTAAAAAAAAAAGACAACAGTTAAGATATGTATTTTTCCATTATCTGTATATTATCAGCAAAATAACTGGAATCCTCTGAAGATGTAAGAAATTTACTTTAGAACTTCTGATTGTGTGACAGAAATCACAGACATGGATTCCTGTCTGGAAAATAATTTTTAACAACAGACACATATCCCATACTGCAAAATCTGCAAGGCATACATGAGTGCACAACACATCAAGAGAATTTTCCCCATAGCCAAGATTTCATTTGTTATGGCTAAGATCTGTGGCACCTGCTTCCAAGAACTAGTTGCTGACCTTTACTAGGTAGAGCTCCTGGGATAAATGTGGTATTTCAGCAACCCAGGATGACTCAGTAGACCCGTGATTTAAATATCCAGAGTGCATTCATTTCCAGGCTTAGATGGCTGCCACATTTTCTCGTTCCCTATAGCTTACCATGTTTTTTGGTGTTCTACATGGTCCTGGACTAGTGTTGCTGTACCAGCAAAGCCTCAAACGCCTGACAAAAGAGTCACTGAAAAGAAAACATCGAAAAATCCCCAAAGACAACCTCAAAAGTCCACCTAGGCCTAGAGGGCCATGGGAGCAGCTGCTGACACCTGTGACTTCCAACCTCTCCAATTCTGAATCCCAGCTAGTCAGCAGAAGAGTCCAGGGGGCTAATTCCTCCTTGCCCCATTCTCTCTCCACATTTTCTGAAGGGTCAAGAAACACAATTCTGTTCTGTCCTTCTCCATTTGACTGTGATACTCTCAAGGACAAGGTGATTTACACTCGGGTCTGACAGTGTACCAAGGTGCTCATGAGCAAAGAAATGGTTGGGGGGCCCCCAAAGCCAAGTGGTGTGAATTTAAATCCTGGTTCTGCCCTGTACTTGCCATGTGACTTTATGCAAAATTATTTAAGTTTAATTGTCTGAGTTCCTTCTTCAGTAAAATGGGAATGGCAAAAGAACCTACCACATGAGACTACTGTGAAGATTAAATGATTTAATATGTAAAAACAGTAACTAGAAGGTAGAACATGTTCAATAAGTTAGTAAATAAACATTACATGGCACTTAATCTGGGCCTGACAACATTTTAAGCACTTTATCAAAATCAACTCAGTTAATCTCCATGACCCTTAAGAGTGTCATACAGTACGTATCATCATTTCTTCCATACGTTCATTTTAAAAATAAGGGAGCAAATTGGGTTAGACAATTTGTGAGTTGTCTTAACTGGTGGAGTTGTCTGGCTTTAAAATCTGTCCTTGTAACCACAGCCCTAGTTCCATTCTCTGTAAACAGATCTTCATGGGTGCTGGCTACACTGTAGAAGACCTGGACACTGAGGCCACATGGACTGACCAGACAATAAACCTCACTGTGAGAAAGGCTTGGTCAAGCGAGAGGCAGGGAGACGGCATTGAGGCAGGCCATGCACTCTCATAGCAGTTGATCAAGCCAGGCAGGATTTCAAAGTCCATGAAGCACAGGTTTGGCAGGCTAGAAAGAAAGACACTGCAGACATATGGCACAGCCCAGGGCTGCTAGACAGTGTGTTCACAGTGGGACACTGCAAGAGCAGTTTCAGGGGAAAGTGCCCTGGAGGGCTCTGAGGCCCAAGAGGAGGCTCTCAGACCTGAGCCACTGAGCAAGAGGCAATTTCTTGGTGATGTGAACTTTCTCTCATAAACACTGTTTGAAGTGTCTCGTGTTTGGTGGCACAAGCCATCCCACTGCATCCTCTAGAGTGAACAATGTTATGATGATAAATTTAAATATGCGCCTCAGGAAGAAATCACTGAACTAAGAAATAGAAACTCAGGCATTACATTTGTTGTAATAAGGGATTTTAAGGCAGAGGCATTTAGAACAAAGAGTTTACCAAAATCACCAAATTAATAATATGTAATATCCAATCGCTTTCACTTATGGAACTAAAATGAAACTCAATGACCTCCTTAAAAATGTCTGAAAATTCTTAAGAATAATTAAACTTAAAAGGCACTACTGTGAGGGGAAGAGCACCTGGGGCCCTGAGCCCCAGCCCCTTCCCATTGTACCTGAGCCTGCTAGGGATCTGAGGTCCCCAGCTGAGCACAGAGTAGGCCAGGGAGAGGGCCCGCCCTGAACGGGGCATTGTCTGAAATCCAAAGGCAAAGCCCCTCCCTCGGGTCAGCTTTGTACACACTAACATGTCAAACCCATAAGAACGCTGTCACTCATGGCTGCCTTTTTTGATCTGTCCTTAAGGGGGAAAAAAAGAGTTAACTGAACTGGATTGAATTAGCTTGGTGAAAATAAAATGTCTCTATTTATCGAAGTGTGGCACCAATTTGTGATATCTTTCTCTTTGGACTGCTGTCCTCATGTCAGACAAGATATTGAATAATACAGCCTGACTGCTCAGCTGAGCTGCTGACAGGCCAGAAAGTGGTGTTTCTAATCAGGTACTAAATAAACTTACGACATGCTCATGCGGAAAAAAAGGTATAAATAAACTGAAACTCCAGAATTTAAGAAATTAATTTTAGAAGTCAGAACTGAAGAAGTTTGGAGGCAACAGATTTTAAAATAACTTTTAAACTGATAGAAATATTTCAAACTAATAATCTAAAAAATTTTAAACCAATAAAATGTGCTAAGCTTAATATTCTGAAGAAGTTTTTAGGCAAAAGCTTGATAGTTTTATTTCATGATATTTTTAAATTTTCAAGAATTTTTCCAAATAAACTAATTTTAAACTTTGAAATAATTTTCAAATATTAAATTTCTAAGAATTACTGGTATATCTTCTATACACTTATTAATTTATCTCAAAGTTAAAATTAATAATGAGTAAAGATAGTAGAAGCAAGTTGATGGGAAATTAAAATTGCTCTTCAATTTGTGCTATGGACTAATCTCCCACATATAGGTCAGAAAAATAAACCACCTTTATAAAGTGATAAAACTGATCACTTCAGCAGTGGTAAAGGTTTCTTTTCTTTTTTAAAGAACATACATACATTCTTTTAGAGAAAGAATAACTAAGAAGGGGAAAGACCATTCAGTGAAAAAGTGTGAAGTACTTGTAAAGACAAAAAAAAAATACATAAGGATAAAGATCTATCAAAAATGGTTATAGCATTACTATAAATCAATGCAAGCTGTGTAACTCTCTGGCTCTAGAATTTTAAATCTTTCAATTTGAAGGCATATAACCACACAAAGCTCTCTGGAAGACTTTCAAAATCAACTGTGACTAGAGTTATCACTGTACCTTTCATGTGAGCTTTCCAAACCCCATTACTGCTGAAATTATAAATCAAAGTGCATTCTGGCCTACAGCTTAACCCATTTTGTTTTTAATAAGTGAATTCAAACTATTTGTAAACTCCAGAGGTGTGCCACCTGGTAGGAAGGGGGGAAGGCAGGAATAGTAAGAGGAATAGCTTTCTCAAACACAAGTCAATTCCTTACTGTGTTTGGGAAGTAAATCTAACTTTAAGCTATCAACACCAGTAATTTTCAAAGGCCATCTTCCTATTGATCTTTAGCTGAGTGGGCTCTAGAGACCCAGGGCTTCACTTCAGTGACAAAAGCGGGTGGAGGAGGTGTGTGCTGAGAACTGCAACACCACAGGGACCCTAATGAGTCCAAAAAGAAAAGAGAAATGCTTCATTTATAGCTCATCTCTATTTTGTGATGAAGTACAGAACGACATTAGCTCTAAGTATGATTAGTACTTATGAGGCTATTTTTATTTCCATTTACAGATGAGGAAATGGGCAGAGAAGTTAAGAAGTTTACCCTAGGTAACATAGTAATTAAGTGTCAGTGTCAAAATTCAAAGAAAGGCATCCCAGCTCCACAGTCCAAGCTCTTTGGTCACATACTTTTCTTCTTGCCTAGAGAGGCTCTAAGTTGTGTGGTCTTACTCTGTTTCTTGGTGGATTTCAAGGAATCAATGCAACTTCCTGAGGATTCTCCCAACCAGAAATGATGATAAGTCTTAGACTCAGTTGTAGAACAATGGCTAAAAAAACAACAGGATTTGAA